GTGTGTGTGTGCGTCATGTTGGCTATACACAAGTCCACAGAAAATGCATGCCTGTGCCAGACTGTCCTCTATGTGTGTGTGTGTGTGTGTGTGTGTGTGTGTGTGCGTCATGTTGGCTATACACAAGTCCACAGAAAATGCATGCCTGTGCCAGACTGTCCTCTGTGTGTGTGTGTGTGTGTGTGTGTGTGTGTGTGTGTGTGTGTGTGTGTGCGCGTCATGTTGGCTATACACAAGTCCACAGAAAATGCATGCCTGTGCCAGACTGTCCTCTATGTGTGTGTGTGTGTTGTGGGACTGGAAAGTTTAGGTCTCGATATAGAGAAGGCTGTGCTGCGTTTTCCCTGGTTTCGAGCGACCATTCTTCCACTTGTTGTGGCGGATAACACCCACCTAACATCCTTTGGCAGGTAGCAGCAGGATCATGCCAGGATGAACAGCCAGCTCAAGTGTGAGCTAATCTCTTGTGAAATTCAATCTGCACGGTTGTCAATGACAGTCAATTGCCTCCGAGTAGTTTTTGTGAAGTCAAATGGAATCTCTGACCCGAGTGCACTGGAAGTTTGAAGTTAACTTAGGTTTTCATAAATTATGTGCTTGTACGTGAAAAATGTGCTTCCAGTAGCCAACCCATGTATGGCTGTCAAAATCGTGCGCATCAATCAGCATGAAGGTTCCCAATCCAAGTAGTTGTATTTAGGTGCTTTAAACAGATTTGTAGAGAAATGGTCTGTTTTTTTTTTTTCTGTATTCTTCTCTCAACTTCTGTTTTTGCCTTTCACTACCTACTCCTAAGGCTATATAGAGGGGACCCCTGCAAGCATAGAGTCCTCTCACTGTGAAGGGGAGATTTCATGTTGCAGCTTGCCCCTAATGGTTAGGGTATAGGGTTGGGGCCGCCAGTGGGGGTCTGGCTAACACAAAGACCGAGACCTGCCAGTAGCTGCGCCTCCCTTTTTCATCCTCCCCCACCCCTCATCCAGTAGCAGCAGTAGCTACGGCCAACACTCTCCCACACACCACACACAACCCACTCGCGCTCGCACTCACACCCATGTTGGTCATAGATTTCACTGATACTGATCAGGAGTATCCAGAGGACTATCCCAATTCGCTGGCACTAAGTGCGCCGCAGGCGGACGTGGGGCTTGAACCCACAACCTCCTGAATGCCACTTGCGTGCCTAACCAACTGAGCTAGGCCCACTTCTCTAAAGAAGTTTTCATGGGATTTTGATTTTTTTGTCCTTTTCGTGAAGTGGGGTACAACTCTGGCTGGTACCACTCGTCCTCCTCCTCTTCCTGCTCCTCTGATTTTCTTTATTGTTTTCACAGGAGTTATACCAGGATCACGGTGTCACCCATTGCCCTCTTAATTCAAACAGAATGCACGGTCATGACGGGTGAATTTGGGGTAACTTTGATTCTATATTCATGGCTAATAACTTCAGGCCGAGAGTCCCACTGGTAGCGGGGCTTCAGTCATCTTTTGAGTATTTTTTTACGTGGTTACAATGTGGCTGCATTTTCTTTTGAGTTTTTTTTGTTTGTTTGTTTTCTTAAACCACCAGTACCTTGCTCAGCTATCAAGTCCGAGCCTCCCGGTACCTGTAAGCCGAGCCTTGCCGAGCCTAGAGCTACCAGTAGCAGGCTTTGTTGCATTTTTTGAAAGGGAAAATTTTGAAATGCCCCCAACGTTTGCGTTTATTTGTGGCGTGCCCCTGTAAAGGCCGACTTACCCTGTGGTGCCCCTGGGGCCTCTGAAATTTTCCGCAGGCCCCTGTCAGCATGGGGCATAACTTTCCGATATGCCCTTACTGGACGTTTGCGTTTATTTGCGGTGTGCCCCTNGGCCTCTGAAATTTTCCGCAGGCCCCTGTCAGCATGGGGCATAACTTTCCGATATGCCCTTACTGGACGTTTGCGTTTATTTGCGGTGTGCCCCTGTAAAGGCCGACTTACCCTGTGGTGCCCCTCAGGCCTCTGAAATTTTCCGCAGGCCCCTGTCAGCATGGGGCATAACTTTCCGATATGCCCTTACTGGACCGCTGGTGGCGTTTCGTCGGTTGGTCCTTGAAATACCCTCACAAGGGGCACACATCTTTCTGTGATGCCCTTGCAGCAGTGGTGGCAGGAATTCAAATTCAATGTGGTTGGCATTCCACCGCCATGGAAAATATGGTCTGTATATGTGTGTGTGTGCGTGTGTGTGTTGTGTGTGTGTGTGTGTGTAAGTGTGCACGTGTGTGTGCGTGTGTGTGTATATGTGTGTTGTGTGCGCACACGCGCTGTGTGTGTGTGT